AGCCTGGCGGCCACCACTTCGTAGCACCAGGGGAGCCTCTCATCGGCCTTCCACCCCTCGGCCAAGAACTTCTCGACGGCCTCATCGGCAGCCTTCACGACGGCGGCCTCGGCCTCAGCCTTCGCCTTGGCGGCCTCCTCGCTCCGGCGCTTCTCGGCCTCAAGCGCCCTGTGGGACTCCGCGAGCTCCCTTTTGCTCTCTTCGAGTTTGACCAGGGCATCGTCCCTGGCCGCGACGGCTTCATCAGCTTTGGCCTGCAGCGCCTTGGCATCCTCTCGGAGCCGGTCAAGGCAAGCTACCGCCTCGTCGGCCGAGGCCGCCTTCTGCTCCAGCGCTTGCAGGCGGGCTATCTCCCAGTACTGCCTCTTATGGCTTTCCATAAGCATGAAGGCACTCTGCAGAAGAAAAACAAAGGTCAGGCAAAAAAAAAAACTCTCTACATAGACGAAGAGAGACAAAAATATAAGGACAATCACTTACTTGGACGAGGAGATCCATGCCGCCCTCATAAATCTTCGGGTCCTCGAGCTTCTTCAAATGAGCCCGATCTTTGGCCTGCATGGCCTTGGCCAGGACGACGTGGCCGGGGACGAGCTCATTAAACACGCCCCCGCCGACGGGGTACTCTATCACTTTCTGATAGGTGGCACCGACAATCTCCTTGCCGGCCCTCTGCGTCCGTGGTTCCTGGACGAGAGGAAGCGCTGGGGCGGCATCATCAGCAACAGTAAGGTCCACGACGGGACCACCATCGCCCACGCTGGGGACAGTAAGCGTACCGGCCTCACTAGCCGGAGAAGGGGAAGGAGCCCTCTTCGTCTTCTTAGAGACGCTCACGCCGGCCTCGGTCAACTTTTTCTGGCCGTCAGTGGCCGGTCTCTTTTTCTTGGACGGGGCAGGCTTTGGGGCCGCGTCAGCAGTAGCCCCGCTCCCACCAGCAGCGGCACGTCGGGCCGCCTCGGCCGCCTTAGCAGCAATCTCCTCGGCCGCTTTGGCCTTTGCAATAGCCATCATGGAACGGCGATCCATGAGAAAATCTACAAAGGAAAAACACAAACAGATTAGTAAGGCAAAGGACAAAACATAAAGACAGAAAGCCGAAGAAGGAATTACCATCGGCCTCAGCAGGAATGCCCAAGTCCGGGCCGTCGGCCTCTTCAAAGGTGGTGGTCATCCTCGGCCAGAGTTGGAGGTCATCCTCCTTGTCACCATAAACATAGTACCTCACGAAGCCGAGGGCGGCCATCTTGTACTCAGTGATGTAATCTTTCACGCTCCTCGGCCCCCCCTCCAGGAAAGCCTCCACCTGAGCGTCCAAAATAGAGCTCTTCGGTGAATCATGCAGATTAAATCTCCCGGTGTGGCCGAGGGAGGGAAACTCGGTGCCACTCTCACCAATGGACACAAACACGAACTTGCTCTTCCACCCATGAATGGACGTAGGCAAATCCGTGAAGCTCCTCTTCTTCGGCAGCTGCTGAAGAGTCGCGTAGGCCGCACAGTTCTTATGGCTTCCTCGGCCTATCTGGTACAGATTCATAAATAATGCCGTTGTCGGCTTGTAGCCCAACTCCTCACACCGGAGCAAGAACCCCACCATCAAGGAGTAGCTGTTCGGCGTCAGCAAGGCCGGAGGAAGCCCTACCATGTCCAGGTACTCAGTAATGAAAGGGTGAAGAGGAAACCTCAACCCCTTAGCAAAACTCATCGGGTATACTCCAAAGTATCCCGGTGGTGGAAGAAGAACATGGTCCGTCGGCTTGGGCGCCCTAACCCGCCCGAACGGCCCCACGTACATCTGGGCAACCAGATAGTCGGCCGCACTGCTCTCCGGCTTTATCAGGTAGATGTTGGTGAGATCCAAGTAGGAGACGCCGGGCCCACTCTTCGGCCTCCTCACTCTCTTCGGCTTGGCGGCTCCCTTAACGGCGGACACCGGCCTCGGGCACGGAATGACAGCAGAAGTGGACGCCCCGTCCACCACTCGGGACGCATCTACGTCCTCACCCTTTGAAGAGGAGGCGGACTCCTCGTCCTCGCCTTCCTCGTCCATCAGCTCCGCGGACTTGTATGGACTTAAACGCTCTATCTCCTCCTCAAACTCCTCGAGCACCTCGTAGTCAAGCGACCTCGTGGAGGGCTGGTCGTCGTAGGGGTAGTAGTTGTCGTTCAAGCTCTTCATTACTACTACTACGGGCTTAAGGAGAACTTACGATCTAAAGGTGTTTAAACGCCTAACACTAGATCAACTACTTACGGAGCAAAATATGAAAAGTGAGGAAGATCGTGATGAACACTAACCTCAAACAACGAAGAACACGAAGAACAGGCTTGGGAGTTTCTCTCTCTAGAAAATCAGCCAGCACTTCGACAAATTCAGAATGCAAATGTGATTCTTCGTCGGAGGGGAAGGGGTATTTATAGACCCCCCCACCAACGGTCACTACACGTGGCACCCCCCCAATGGCCACATCAACGGCCACCACTGGGGGACCACCACGTCACCAACGGGCCAGGACCAACCCATATCAACGGCCCACCGGCAAATCAGACCCTACGGCCTACACACGCTCAGCGGCTTTACAACTGCCAGCAAGCGCCCACAACGTCCCACTTGCTCACCAAGATCACAAATGCCAAACAATAAGCGGATGGCAACGGCCAGGAACGTAACGGCCACAGAACAAAGGGGACAAATAGCCCACAGCCTTCGGCTCCTCGTAATAACCCTCGATGATAACTCTCTACAAGCGATCTGCGCACAAGGGTTCTCCCACAGGGATACCTTGGCCAGAAAATCGCCATGAGAGTTGGATTCAGGTGGACTACGGCGAGACCGCTTCGGCCAGGGACTCAAGCAACTCCTTCACCCCTCACACTCTTCGGCCTGAAGCAGTGGGGGACTGGGGGACTACACCGGCCTCAACAAAAACAAAAAAGTGCGAACAAGGTGACCACAAAACATGGCCACATCATCCATACGGCACACCGGAACTTCATCGGCCAAAGGCCCATAACGTTACTAGCAACGGCCAACAAGCCACTAGAGGCAAGGACACTCATCGTCCTCTGCTAACAGATAATCTTGACGGGCTCTTCGGCCAAAAACACGAAAGCCAACCAGCAACGGCCAAAAGGAGTGCGCAAACACCCTCATCGGCCACACATAGGAAATGAGGCCATCGTCTTCAAAGCAAAGAACAACCTCAACGGCTACACCGGCCCAAACATAAACTTCAACCACCAACGTCCAGGAAAGGGAAAGCGCGCCTTCAACGTCCACCATTGAAAGAAGGACACTCATCGTCCCAAAACAAATTAAGGAAACAACGGCCTCCCCGCCCACAGCGAGGAACAGGTAACGGCCAAAGCACAGAAATCTACTCTCCTTCACTTCGTCTACGTCTCAGCTTAGAGAGTGGGGGACTCCTGATGGAGTATATGGGTCTGGGCCCCAGGACCCACATACTCGGAAGGACAGAGCACAAGACAGCAGAGTGGCGCCCTCGTCGGCCAAGACGCCCCCGTCGGCCGAAAAGGGGCCAACTCGGATTACGGTCCTGAGCCCAAGGAACCCGGGTGCCCTCGTCGGCCGTGCCCTCGTCGGCCACGCCCTCGTCGGCCACGCCCTCGTCGGCCACGAAGACCTCCCAGAATCGGATTCTATACTTACTCGTTTGTACAGCCCATTAGAGGCTTTGTATTCGGCCCAATAGCGGTCCAGTTGTAAATGGGCCTCCCAAGCCCAAGGCTTGGGAGCCCAACCCTAATTTTCTCTATAAATACTCCCCTTGGGAGTAGTTATAGGGGTTACGAAATCATTCTATTGAAGCATATTATTGCACTTCTCTCTCTAGCTCTCACTTCTCTCTAGATATACTCTATCAGTAATTAATTCTATTTCTCTCAAAAAAAATTACAGAGTACTCTGTATTATCTAGGCGTGTTTAGTTGTTGCGGTGAAAACCCCCTAACATATACTTGTATAAAGGTGAAGGTATGACTCTTCTCCATCTCTTCAATTCTTCCTCTTAAGTACCAATCTTTAATTACAAAGGATATTTGAATCTCTAGCAGGAGATAATAAATTATGTGTGAAGATACAGGAGAAGAAAATCAATCGAGAAAGATAGAACGTATTAAAGCTCATTCGAGGTGAGTGGACGATTTAATGTCTTGTAACTCTGGGGTTAAGTATGAGATCACCTGAGTAAATTTTATATGTGCTCATAATAATGTTTAAAAGAGTTTAAACATGTGATTAGCCAAGGTGATTAAGTTTATATGAAATGAACTATTGAGATATGCATGAAAAATAATATGAAAATGTTCTTAAAAACATATGTGATGTTTTGAAGGACCAAAAAGGTGGAAACTGGTCGTAAAAAAAATTGAATTTACTGGAAAGTGTTGGGTATGCAATGAAAATGCAATTGAACATACCGGTGAGCGTAGCTCAACTGGTAGCAAGGAAGTTCCACAAGGGTTAGGTCCCGGGTTCAAATCCTGACAACTATGATGGAAAGTTATTATGCTAAAAATGCATAAGCCTCTGCAAGTATCGAGGACAGAGTCTCACTCTCTATCTGTCAGATTGTGATTATAGTCTAATTTACATACTCCTAACGATAAGTCTGACCGGTGTTGGGTGACTTTTAAGAATGGAGTGTCATCCTTTTTTTCAATTAAACATATTATAAACGTTATTGAAGCTGTATAGACAATTATCTGTCTATAAATTCAATTGACTTTTACCCACCACTTTCCAGTAAATTCAATTTTTTTGACAACCACTTTCCACCTTTTTGACCTTTCAAAATATCACATATCTTTTTAAGAACGTTTTCGTATTATTTATTGTCTATAAATTCAATTGACCTTTACCCACCAATTTTTTTTTTTTTTGCTCAACTGGTTGTCAAACCCCATCATTCTTTTTCACTGTGCTACCCTTCCAATCGAGCTGTACGTAAACGCGTTTACGCGTTTCTTTGTTGCCAGTCGCAATATATATTCGGATTACATTGCAGTTAAAAAATAAATTCATAACAACCCCACTCAAATTCAATATCGCAATTGCAATTCCCAAATTTCAGATTTTTATCTTTCAGTTGAAAGTGGGGGAAATTTGAGTTTCCTCAAAGAAATCAAAAGGATTTAAGCGGCGGCAAGGAAGTTAAAGGAACTGATCTTCTGATAGAAACAATGGCATCGCTGGAGGAAGAGCTGTTTCCGGCGACGCCGGGGAAGTTAAAGGAGCGGCACGCAATGAACCGTCTGGCAGTAATCCAGAGGTGCTTCGCCTCTACCACGACAGGGACGATGTTTCTATGGGCGTTGTTCTTGATTGCATTGACGGCGTCTTATCTGAGTTTCCAATCTTTCGTGGATTCCGGCATTCAGTGTTTCTCCTCCTCCGCGTGGGGCGGGCTTCGCTGGGAGAACCAGGTCCGCTCCTCCGCTCAGATCCGCCGCCACAACGGCGGCATGTCCGTGTTAGTGACTGGCGCCGCCGGATTCGTCGGGTCGCACGTCTCCCTCGCCCTGAAGAAGCGCGGCGACGGCGTCGTCGGGCTCGACAACTTCAACTCCTACTACGACCCGTCGCTGAAGAAATCGCGGCGGGATTTGCTCCGCGCGCGGGGAATATTCGTGGTGGAGGGCGACGTCAACGACGGCCGGTTACTGACGAGGCTCTTCGACGCCGTGGCGTTCACCCACGTGATGCATTTGGCGGCGCAGGCCGGGGTACGATACGCCATGGAAAACCCCCAATCGTATGTCCATAGCAATATCGCCGCCCTCGTCACGCTTCTCGAAGCCTGCAGCAAGACGGCCGACCCGCAACCCGCATTCGTTTGGGCCAGCTCCAGTTCCGTGTACGGGTTGAACGAGAAGGTACCGTTTTCCGAATCGGATCGGACTGACCGGCCCGCTTCGCTCTACGCAGCTACGAAGAAAGCCGGCGAGGAAATCACGCACACCTATAACCACATCTACGGCCTGTCCATAACTGGGCTTAGATTCTTCACCGTCTACGGCCCGTTGGGCCGGCCCGACATGGCCTACTTTTCATTTACCCGAAATATCCTCCAAGGGAAGCCCATCACCATCTACCGGGGCAAGAACCGGGAAGATTTGGCCCGGGATTTCACCTACATTGACGACGTCGTGAAAGGGTGTGTTGCGTCGCTGGATACGGCGGGTCGGAGCACCGGATCCGGGGGGAAGAAACGGGGCAAAGCGCCGTATCGGATCTTCAATCTGGGTAACACCTCGCCCGTCACGGTCCCGATGATGGTAGGGATGTTGGAGAAGCTGTTGAAGGTGAAGGCGAAGATTAACGTGGTGGAAATGCCCGGAAACGGCGACGTTCCGTTCACCCATGCCAATATCAGCTCGGCCCAAAGGGAACTCGGGTACAAACCCACAACCGATTTGCAAACCGGGCTGAGGAAGTTCGTTCGATGGTACCAATCATATTATGGATATTCGAGCAAGGGAAATCTGTAACCTGATTTCATTAGTTCTTTTTTGGTTCATTTTAAAAAATGAGAAATTAACGAAAGGAAGTCCCAGATAAAAACGGGAAAAGGTTGATCGGTGAGAAAGGGAACTCGATCACCAACCGTACATTTTCCCCATCATGACCGTCCATTGAGTGATAGAGATTAGAGACGAAAAGAAGAGATAGTTGTATCAAAAGGAAATGCATTTTTCTCCTCTGTCCTCATTTTGTATTATGTTTTGGGGAATTATATCAAAATGAAAATTATGATTGGCATTTATCTATTTTTTTATTTGTGTAATAATTATAATCATTGTTTAAATTTTAGTTCTAATTACCTGAGTTCTCACTTCTCATTAAATCATCTAACCTACTTGTCCCTCAATTAAGTTACCACTTTCCTTTTTGAGCAGTCCTTAAATTAAGTTCAACTTCCTTACTTTCCTTATTTGGCAAATTATCTACATCAAAATAGTGTCAAACAGTGCAAAAAAGTGTTTGAACAGTGTAAAACAGTGCACTCCACAGTAAAGTCAAATTTATTTTATTAATATATGTGAAGTCAAATCGGGAACTTAATTAGGGATGGAGGGAGTATTTGTTAGGAATAGGAATTCTATCCTAAAAGGTCAACCTAATAGGAGGAGTAATCCACATCTTAATCCAGCAATTAATGCCTTCACAAATATCCGGTGTGGGAATTCAACACCCCTTCTCACGACCAGACACTTCGTCTGGATCGTGTCGTCATTCATTTTTTTCATCGGTTCGTCATTGTGATTTTTTTATATAATCTTGTCATCATTTTTCATTAGGGGGCCCACACCATGAATTGATTTGGCTCTGATACCATGTTAAGACTCGGGGTTTCATCCTAAAAGGTCAATCTGAGAGGAGGAGTAATCCATATCTTAATATAGCATTAAGGCCTTTACAAATATCCCGTGTGGGGATTCAATAGTATTCCTATTGTTTCCTAGTCTTGGAAGGTTGTAAATTGCAAATATAAAAACATCAAATTTCTCTCATGCTTTCTTACTAACCATGCTAAACTCAAAAGTGCCTTGCGTTATAGAATATTTTGAAATAATAAAAACATTTAGAAATGAATAAAAGAATTTGTAATTTACATTTTTGACAGACATAAATTTTATACAAAATGGACCATAAAGATAATGTATAAAATCATTGATGAATGCAATTAATTTCCTGGTATGAACAAATGTTTTTGTATAAAATACTCCGTAATAGTTTTTGACTTTTCAAATATAAAGTATAGTACTAGCGGGTGAAGGCTCGCATCTTTCTCGCGGCCGTGGTCTAGGGCCTTCCTAGCGGTTTTCCGGCGATGAGCGTTTGCTCGCTACGTTCGGCAAGGAGGTTGTTCCATGAGTTTCATCAGTTGGAATTGTAGATGTCTCAGAAATCCGAAAACTGTTCAAGGCATGACGAATATCATTCAGAGTCACCGACCGTCGGTCATCTTTTTTATGGAAACCAAGGTTCGATGTCAACTTGCTAAGGAGCTGCTGTGAGCACAGGGTTTTGCGCTTAGTGTTAGGACAGATAGCGAGGGGCAGACCGGTGGCTTGGTGGTCAGATGGAACGACAAACTAGGGCTGAATGTCGTTAACTGCCATTCGAACTACATTGATACCACGGTAAGGCTGGCTGTGAATGATACACCTTGGAGGCTTACTTTCTATTATGGGTTGCCAGAAAACTATAAGAAGGAGAGAGGCGTGGGATCTATTAAGAAATCTAGCCGAGAACAACTCTCTTCTGTGGATGATTATAGGTGACTTTAATGATATTCTATATGTATCGGAGAAGAAAGGGCGAAATCCTCGCCCTGGCTGGAGACTGAGAGGATTTGGAGAGAGTGGCATCATGTGGGCTACGGGATTTCCCTTTCGACGGGTACACGTGGATGTGGGAAAGGGGCTGGAGACACAAATTATTGAGTGAAAGAGAAACTTAATAGAGTACTTATAACTGATGATTGGTGAAATAAATACATGGCGGCACAGGCTTCATCGGTGGAAGCCCTCATGAGTGATCATATGGCTTTGTGGGTAAAGGTTACGCCAACGGCGGTTACGCGCAAAGCAAAAAAAATTTAGTTTGAAAATAACTGGTTGAAAGAAAATGAGTGTCGTACAGTGGTCTCCAATAGTTGGATGGCAAGCAGTCACCTCATGGTTAGTGAAAGAATTTTATTTTGTGGTAAGGAACTTCTCTGATGGGATGGGTGCAGAAAAAAAGGATTTCGGAAACAAATTTAAGCATGCAAGAGGCGGTTGGCATGGCTACGAGGCCGAGATGATTGGAGGAACATGGCTGAATTTATGAGGGTGCGGTCCGTTTTGTATTTGTTGATGGAAAAGGAAACCCAATTTAGGAAACAGCGGACAAAGGAGTTCTGGCTGAAAGAGGGGGATATTAATTCTCGTTTCTTTCATAATGCGGTCAAACATAAGCAGAGGAAAAATAAAATGACTGGTTTAAGAATGTCGGATGGTTCGTGGTGTACAGACAAAGATCAGCTAGGTAATATGGTAAAAAATTATTTTGAGCTACTCCCTCCGTCCCAAAAAGGTTGGCCGAAGTTGACTTTCCCGTGTATTACTTTAAATGAAAATAGCAAATCTTTGTGGGACATCGAAAAAAAGGAAATTTGGTCAACCTTTTCAGGGTGGAGGGATTACTATTTAGCCAAGGAGAGACCGCAGGGGTGGCGGACTGTTTTGGGGACTTTGTGCAGGTCTCGATGGACCAAAACATGCTTTTATTACGGCATATAAGACCGGAAGAGGTGAAGGCGGCTATCTTTGACATGCACCCTGGGAAAACTCCACGATCAGATGGTATGAAGTATGAACCAAGCTTTCTTTCCGAAGTTTTGGGACATTGTTGGGCCGGAGATTTCTAGACTGTGTTCAAATATTTTTGGGGAAAATAATTAAAATACCCCAAACTTTGAAGGGGTGTGAGATAAAAATCTCGAACTTTCATATGTAATTTAAATACCCCAAACTTTATATAAAAAATTATTTTAACACCATGGTTATGTATGAGTTCTTTCAAAAATGTAAATTTATGGTAATAAATGCATAATTTAAAATAGCAAATTGAAAACATTAAAATTATATATAGTGGTGGGTAATACTATTTATTTTACAATGGAAGCTTAGAATGTTAATTGCATCTTTATGAATGCTAAAAATTATCAAATTATGAAATAAACCCCGAAAACTAATATTTTTGAAAGAAATAATACATAATCATGGTGCTAAAATAATTTTTTATATAAAGTTTGGGGTATTTAAATAAAATATGCAAGTTTGGGATGTTTATCTCACACTCCTTCAAAGTTTGGGGTATTTTAATTATTTTCCCCAATATTTTTTTAAGTGGTTCTATCCTAAAAGAGCTTAATGTTTTAATTCCTAAAAAAGAGAGGCCTAAGGTTATGCGGGATTGGAGGCCTATAGCTTTGTGTAATGTGGTGTATACAATTTTCTCAAAGGTGGCAAATAGGTTGAAAGTTCTATCGGGGAACCTGATAGGTGAGAAGTAGAGTGCGCTTGTTCCAGGGCGGTCTATTGTGGGTAATGTGATTGTTGCTTTTGAAACCCAGCATTTTCTGAAACGAAAATGTCATGGTAAAGAAGGGCATGTAGTTTTAAAGCTCGACATGAGTAAAGCTTATGACAGGGTGTGCTGGGATTTTCTACGTGTGATTATGCTTCGGATAGGTTTTGATGGGAGGTGGGTGAATATGATTATGGAATGTGTGTCAACAGTTAGTTGTTACATACAGTTTGAAAAGGAATTTTCGGGACCTGTTATACCAGGGCGAGGCTTAAGACAGGGTGACCCTTTAGCTCCCTACCTGTTTATTATGGTGGTCGAAAGGCTAAGTGCGCTTCTAAAGAGGGCAGAAAATCGCGGAGATATCCACGGGGTGGCGGTGTGTAGGGGTGCACAACGTATCACGCGCCTTCTGTTCGCGGACGATAGCTTCTTATTTTTTAAAGCTACAAATGAGGGGTCAATGGTTGTGAAAAATATTCTCTCAGTCTATGAAGAGAACTCGCGTTAAACTGTGAACTATGCAAAATCTACCCTATCATTCAGCCAGAATGTTGGGGAGCAATTTAAAGACGTCTGATGTAGTATGTTTGTTATACTAAAAGAGGGGGCCAAAGTCGGTACCTGGGCCTACCGGCGCTAGTGGGTAGGAAAAAGACAGCTATTTTTGGCTATCTTAAGGATAAAATATGCAGCACCATCAAGAATTGGAATAACAGATTTCCATTGATATCACCTTTCCTTGAACAACACCAAATAATGATAGAAGTATATGTGATTTGTTTGAGCTTGACCAATCACATTATCAATCTACACAAGAGACATGTTGTTCAAATATATGAGGGTAGGTATACCATGAATTATTATGGACATATGTTGAAGTCAATAAAAAATACTATTGATCAAATGCAATCAAACCAATTTAATTGCAACATCCCTATAAGTGTTTATGCCCCTCATATTGGTACGGATCAGAAGCATTTCAAAGATTCTGAGTAAGATACAATTGAACCTCATATATGCAAAAGATAACAAAATCTTTCAAGGTCTCGATTGCCAATGAGAAATATTTACAAGCCATCTATTATTTAATCATATTAAACATAGATTTGGGAGAGTACCACAATTAGTCATGAAAGAGACGAAATGGTTTTCAATTTCAGAGAGAAAGCTGGTAAAATTGTTACTCCGCAAGTTATAAATCATAACTAAAATCGAATTAACGGTAGTACTTATATGCTCCTTCCGTCCCAAAATTAAATTCTTACTTCCTTTTCGGGTTATCCCGCAATAAGTTCTCACTACCTTTATTTCTCATTTATGGTAAGAAATGTGTGCAAATAGACTATCATACCCTTCTCTATTTATCTTAATCCCACTTCCCCACCGCCCCATCTAATAATATTCCAATTCTCTCTCCTTTGTCTTTGCATGGGCGTTTCCCTCCATTTTTCTGTCAAGATCTAGCCTAGCTTCTCTCTAGCGAAGTATGAAACTATGAAGTGAACTACTTCTGGCCGACTGCCGAGGTCCACGGCAAAGTATGAAATCAATTGTTTCCTGGAGAGCTGAGAAGAGAGAGGTGAGCTTGTTGGTCGCTGTCGAGAACACCGAACCATATCCGGCCAGAATGTACCATGTCCTCTCTGAAAATGTGAATGTGAAAAGCAAAAACAATTGAAAAAAATGGATGAAGATCAGTTTGTCTCCAGAAATGAAGGTTGGTTTCCATCTGTGGCAAGGAATGTTGGTTTCCATTGCAGCAAGGAATCAGGGGATGGATTAGTTGTGATAGTAGAAAGAAGAGCCAAATGGTGGTATTACAAAGCACAAAAAAGAGGGAACAAATAGAAATAAGGGTTGAGAGTATTATTGGAAAGTCAATACAAAAAATTGTTCCCCTAAAACGTGTGAAGGCAAATTGGAAACTTCATTACAGAAGGGCTGGACTGCTGGAGCATGTAAATTGCGAGTGAAGGGGATATGATGTTCAGATTTTTAAAGTCACAGTCCTTCCCATTTTTTGTTATTAAATGAAAAAATTAAAATGAACACACATTTAAAAGAAAAAAAAAAGACAAATTAAAACTGAAGCAGGTAGCCCATGAATTGCTTTTCGTACCTGATCAGCTGATACTCGGATTCTGTTATTTCTTTGGTGTTTTTTGTCATAACATCATTTCATTTCTTGATTTAGCTTCTTTGTTTCCATTTTTCCCAATAGTTGTTCCGTTCTTCATAAACTTCACATTAAACCATGTTGTGAATAACTTAATCACCAACTTCATTCTTCACTTTCTATGACGCACAATACAAATTATACAGAACAACAATTGGGCACATGGTAAAGTGAATTCAAAACTTGTAGAGTTCAAAGATTGTTTAAATAAACAACGGTGAAGCATAGATAATAAATTAAAGTACTCCAATCACACAAAAACTAGTCAAGTTTTATTAATGATCCTCAACTGCAGCAGCTTCTTCGAAGGTTTCACCTTCTACTAGCTCAGGCACATCATCATCGTCTTCTTCAGTAGCAGCTGCGCCGGTACCTGGGATAGGTTGTTTTTGGAAGTGTTCTGCCAACTTTTTCAAGTTCTCCAGGTTATCAGGACCTAAAGAGATATTTGTGAACATGAAATTAGTGGATATTCATTTTATCACTGCATTCTTTGAGGAGAAAATGGAAGTACAGCATACCTAATTGGTTAATAATCTGGGGTAGGATGTCCTGCAATTCTGCAAGCAATGGTTAACAAACAATTATCATCATGTCAACTTGCATAGAAACAAGAGAACCAAAATAAAACTACACATAATATTAGGAAATGCAGTCTTGTCGCATCACTTGATCAGTAGTTAAGTCATTGATGCAATGATATAATATCAAAACATATTACTACGTATAAATTAAAATGTTTGATATTTAATGGGAGGAAACCAAAACAAACTTAGAGGGCATGCCTACTCAGGGTACAACTGTTTTCTACATGTAAAATAAGTTGATATAAAGGCATCACAACTTCATGTGCAATAAAACATGTTATAAATAAAGCATGGAACCCCAGCCTTTCCAGAGAGAAATAAAAAATGAAGCTTGAGCGTTTGCACAACAACATATTATAGGATATTTAGGAACCAGAAATCAATGAATTCTGTGCTCAAGCTGAGGATTTCAAATGGTAATCCAAAGCAACTGTTGATAACAGTGAAAAGGTTCCAAATGGAGCACACAGATAACTTGTGCTCTTAGTTTTAAAAGGCACGAGACGCGTTGAGGCGATTTCTTTGATTTACCCGAGGCGCGAGGCGCTAGGCGGTGAGGCGCGCGCCTCACAGATCTCAGCCACATTTCTTTGGTGAAATATATTTTTAGTACTTCTACATGAAGCACTCTTCTCAAAACTACTTCAATTCATACACAGCATACAAGAACCATAAGGTAATTAATAGACTATAACACAAATACAATTCTGTAAAATTCATTACAGACAGATTTGTAAATTTAAATAATTTAAATGATTTTATAAATTAAAAAACTTAAAATACTTAAAAAACTTACAAACTTAAAAGACATAACTTTTTTTCAGTAATCTATCAAACCTTATAAATAGCGCAAGATAATAGTACGTATCAGTTATCTAACTTTTTATTTAAATAATTTTAATATTTTTATAAAAATAACAACTTAAAATAAAAGAGAATAAATAGCAGGGGATAAACAGCTTCTGCGACGCGAGATAGCAGCCAAATAGCAACAGAGAAAAAAAACGTAAGAAAAGAGAATAAAAGAAAATAAAAGAGCAGCAAAAGAGAATAAAAGAGCTACGCAAAAGAGAATAAAAGAGAATAAAAGAAAACGTAAACAGTCTTACCTCTGTGCAGCGAAAGAAAAGTGGAACACTCAAACAGCTACGCAAGACTAACCAAACGCAGAAGGCGAAAGGAAGGAGAAGACTGAGGCGTGAAAGGCGCTCGTCTCTCAGAACCTCAAGAGGCGCCTAAAAGCGTGAAAAAGCACTCACCTCTCAGAACCTGCACCGCCTAGGTCTGTAAAAAGCGATGGACCTAGCGCCTATATGCGCCTCGCGCCTTTGCTTTTTTAAACTAAGCTTGTGCTCATTAGGTGACTGAATCTTCTTTGAAAAACTCTTTTCCAGATAAACTTCTTTATCTTCCTCATAGAACACTAGTACAACATGCCCTAACCACTATTATCTGAATAATGATAAGTGGCTGCAATTCTGAATTTAGAGATGGATAATGAAGGAAGGGGAAAACAAATATTGATTTAAAAGGATAGTTGTTTTGTTTTTCAAAATGCAAAGGAAATTGTTGTAGTAACTCAACAAAGCCAAGTTTCATTGCTCTGATTTGACTCATTTGAGTGTTACAAAACTTTTCGTATGTATTTTTATCTAACATTCAATTAATTATTATAAGATATAGAGGGGTAAATAAAATCAATAAACAAACTGAACCACGATAGATCATTTGAATATTGTTGCATTCAGGGATCTTAAAGAGTCATTTAACATAGTGTTTTGATCGGCACATCATAAGGGCATATAGTTGCTCGCGCAGATTGCAAATATAAGAGTTCAGTGTCTTTATAAAATTATCCTCAACAGTTAAAGTCCATTCAAATCAAATATTTTAATATAAAGAAATTTGAAAACTGATTCTCCATGGAAAACAGAGACATTGTTTTTCAAGCTGATATTGAGAATTGAAAAGCAGGGATGACATACTCTTAGTCTGAGGGGACCCGCTGACAACCCAAGTATTGGCAGCAATTGAAGCCTGGACTGAATAGACAAACATGTACAAGTAATAGTAAGTAAAACGGATGACAAAAAGGAGAATCTGGTCTTCATCATTGCACTATTAATACCTTTGGGATTAATGAATTGGATCACTTCATCTTCCTTGAATATGTTCAACTCTTCTATGGCAGGAATGGAATTCACACCTATTCTCTTAAGTGTGCTTTGAAGCCTTTTGTCATCAGTTGTATTTGTCTTGTGAACTGCCTTCTTCTTTCTAGTGGAGTAAACAAATAAACACTTAAATAATATAGTGCAAGTGCAAATAGTAACATAATCTTAACTGTTCACTTGAATAAAAGCAAAAAAGAAAACTGGGAAACAGCAGGTTAAACAGTTGGGATGTTTTTACTTGGACTGTAATTCCTCCCAGATTAGACCAGTTCGGACAAGACTTGGATAGTTATAAAAATACAAAGAAACCAGACCAGACCAGTTCAGACCAGACCAGCATAGTTGTGGAATTAAGACCAGAGCAGACCAGAAACATACTTAATCGTCTATAACCTAGTTGAATTTTGAAAAGGGGGACATGAACCTCCTTTAATATCACATGGCACTGAAGTGATTTCTCGAAAGTGTTTTAAGAGATGCATATCACTCAGCTGAAATTCACTTTACTTACTAGAACAAAAAAAATTACGATGAAATTAAAACCAAAAAAATGATATAACCTTCTCACGGTTCCCTTGCCACCTGTCCTGACAGAACCAGCCATCCTTTGAAGCTTCTCTACATTCATCTGTGACAAATAAACCAGTAAAATTACAAAAATGATAAACCCAATAGCATAACCATCATGAAGCTAAAAATAAGGGTTACAAAATATTTTTAATCCCAAATGTCATGTTTTCGTAAGGAAAAACATTTACTGCATCTATTACTTAGAATTAGTGAAAGGAGATGTTTTTAAGAGTTAAAGATAAACACACAACAAAAGCATACGTGAATAAGAGTTAGTAATAATCGACTAACCTTAGGATATTAGACGAACGGCGTGGGGTAGACTGCGTCCGGCCTGAGTGGAAGAGGAGATGGAAAAGGAGAGAGCAATACAGCGTACTGGCACAGAATGAGCGGTAGAGAGAGAGTAATCGGTACACACAGGCGGAAATAGGGCTAGGTTATTGAGATTTGGGCATCTAATTTTCCAATTGGACCGGATCGAACACTTTGGGCCAAATTCAATAAATTTAAATTGTTTTAGTGCCATTTAAGCGGTTAAATGGATTCGATCTATTGAAAATCGAAACTGGGAATTCTAGCTGATTCACCCGACTTCTTTAATCTGTTCGCTTGAGAAAATATTTTATTTAAAAAAATTGTAATGATATCTATTGAAAAAATCTTATAAAAATAGTTACAATCATTTTATATAGTAACTTCTATTAATTTAATTCACAAAAGTAAACAAACCCACTTATGTTGATATATATATATATATATATAATTCAGAATGCAAAATCAATGTATTTGATTGAACAAAAATTACCGATAAGACTGGGGATGAAAATATTAGTTACCAAACATGCTATTAATAGAATTAAGATGGAAAGTAAGGGCGGGAAGGGTCATATGTAAATTTAATTAGTTTTTACATTTTAGAAAAATTGAAGTAAAGTGAAGATAAAATTATATATATATATAATATATATATATATATATATATATATATATATATATATATATATATATATATATGTGATGGATAGTCTACCCGGAGGTATATATATCCGAAGGGTTATTGCGGGGAACAACTTAGAGAGAAGTCAGAGCAAGTAAGTGAATGTAGAGAGAGAGTGTATTCAGTATGAATGTCGTGGTTACAAATGAGGAAATGGGGTGCTATTTATAGTAGCAATAAATGCCGGACAGGGACACGTGTCAAGCGCTCATTGGCCGAGGGGTCACCTCAACTGGTTGGCGCTGGCAGCCGCATGTGGCCGCATTTAATGCGGCTGTTGGATGGGACGTATGTGCAGGGTACGGTGATCTGTACGCATGTGAGGCGGATATCTTGTCGAGTGAGATGCCTTCGGCTGTAGAGCAGTAGCTGAGGGCTCCTCCAACCGATGGCACCCTGGTGCCGAGGGCTCACAGTGCCGAGGGCTACTGTTTTCGCCGTATTCTCCCAGTTTCTTAATTTGCTCGAGAAACCCGTTCTGTGAGAGTTTAGAGCCTTCGGCAAGGGGGCCGAAGGCACCCCTGGCGCATAGTGCGGGCTGCTTGGTACTTTGGGCGCTGTGATTTGGGCCTGTTGGGCCTGATGGGCCTGATGGGCCTTCGCTGGAGTAGTAGGAGTCTGTGGGCCGGGGGTTCCCGGGCCATATACTCCATCAGGAGTCCCTCACTCCTTTTGCCGAAAGGTACTTGAGGGAAAAGGAGTAATTTGTGCTTGCCCTTTGATGTTGTCCTGTCGTGATCTCTGAAGTTGGTGAGGAGTTGTTGCTTTTATGTCCCTGCCGAAGGCAGTCCCTCAGTTACCCACATGTCGGGACTTGAGGGCTTGCTTTGGCGTTTGTTGGAATTTCACTAATTTTGTAATTTAATGATTTTCCCGAGGTGGTCCTCCAGTCCCCCACTCCTTGAGGCACTTGTAAAGTGGTGAAAAGGAGTAGAGTAGTTGCGTTGCTGTTGATTAGCCGAAGGCTGGCGCTTTTCGTTTCATTTTGGGGGGATGCCTCGTTAAAAACCTCATTAGGAAAAACCCTGTGGGAAAAAATCCTAATGAGGGAAAAAGAGTGCACCGAATTCCCCCAATGATGAATCGAAAATGTCAAACCTTGGTCAAAGCAGGAGAATAACGGTAATGCCGAAGGCCCTTCTTTTTCTGAGGGCTCATGTGTTGATTAGCCGAAGGCTTGCTGTTGATGTCCTGGGGGTGCCGAAGGGGAGCCCCTCAATCCGGGGATCGAGAGCCTGCTGGATGAGGGCAGCAGCGGCGTTGTTACCGGGGGGTCACTGTTTGTTGATTAGTTGGTGATGAAGATACCCGAGGGCTCCCATTACCTGTGTGCCATGGGTTATCCGTCAATGAGGCAACTCCCCGGGCGCTACCCGGTTTTGCAGTGCTGAGGGGGGATCCCCGAGAGGTGCCCTGATATGAAGCCCTGGGTTCTGAAGGAGTGATCCCGAAGGCATCTGCTATGTGCTGTGTGGGGCACAACCCGGGGGCGTCTCTGGGTAAGTGTACTCGGAGGCTCTCCTTGACGAAGAGGAGTGAAGTAGAAAACCCGGGGGCTTCCAGAATATAGCCGTTGGAAATATAGCCGTTGGAATATGTAACGACAGGATATAGCCGTTGGGAGGGCACACGTGGCGTGTGATGGCTGGCTGTCCGTGAACGGCATCACTGGTTGGGTGAAGACGCGGTGTGTAATGATGACGGTCCGTCCGGAGGCCCGGTTTCCGGGCCCAAGCCCGGATTCCAGCGCCTATAAATACCCCAAGGCCAGGGCCATTTCCTCTTGTGCGATCATTTGTCTTAGCGAAGCTCTGTCCAAAATTCTAGTGAGAGAAACTCAGGCCTTCGGTCAAAACTTCTGCTTTCAAGGTCAGTGCCCGCTTTCCCCTCGATACTTTTTTGTAAGTTCCGCCCTCTGGCCTTAGATTAGGGTTAGAATCCTGTAGAAAGCCTTCGAAATCTTAGGCACATTCGTGATAAACAATGTCGTCCGAGAGCGATTCCCAGGACATCTCGAGGACGCCCTCGGTGGAAGACGAAGGTATCTCCGATGTGGAGTCCAGTAGCAGTCAGCCCTCGGATGGTGGTGATGCAGCCCTCGCCACTGAGGTGCAGAAGGATCTGATGGCCGAGGCGGAGGAATTCGAGCGGACCGCCGAAGATGAGGAGTTGGCCCTCGCCGTCCAAATTGCTGAGGAGGAAGAGGAAAAGGAGAGGGTGAAGGTCACTCTGGCCGTCCTCCCCCCTCGGGGTGCTGGTGAGGCCAGTACTTCCCAGCCGCTGAATGCAGTTCCCATCCGGGTGGCCCCCGGGAAGAAGAAGGCAAAGCCAGTTGCCCCCAAGAAGAAGGTTATTGCTGTTGATCAGGGGAAACCCGTAGATATGCCGGAGGGATATTCCTGGCTCAATACGGCTGCCTTGGAGATAAAGTCGAAGGCGGACAGGGCGGACCTCTACGTTACGCAGCTACACGTAGGGCCCTCGGCCGTGGTGGTCGAGCCGGGAGTTGATGACGTGCTCTCTCGGGCGCCCGAGGGGTGTATTGCAGTACACGTACTGTCGGTCTCCATGGGCCTTCGGTTCCCTCTGCACCCCTTCCTCCGGGAGTACCTGAGGTTTGTTGGCTTGGTACCCTGCCAGCTGACACCTAATAGCCACTCCTACGTGGCGGGTTTTTTAAACCTCTGTAGGGACCGAGGGGTGACCCCCAGCCTGGACTTGTTCTTCCAGAGCTTCAACCTCTGTCGGGGGGGTCACGCGAATGCCGAGGGCTTCGCCAACCTGCAGCAAGTGGCCAGGTGGAAGCTATTTATGGAGGCGCCTTCGTCCAATAAGGGCTGGAAGGAGCGCTGGTGCTATGTCAGGGTTGCTGAGAACCCATTTCCGGCGGAACTTCGGGATCGCTTCCGTCGGCATCCGAAGGTTGGAAGCGCCGCCCTCGAGAAAGATGGCCTGGTGATAGCCAAAATCCCGGAGGGTCGCACGAAGCAGGTCTCCATCAAAGACTACACTGCAGACAAGGGACTCTACGCCCTCGGCTTTCGGAGATACCGCTTCATTGGGGAAGCGGACGAGAAGTACCCCATTTTTGCTGAGGCCTTCGGGGGAGCAGGAGGTAGTCTACGAGGTCCCTCGGTTTTCATATCTTAGCACATAGTTTATCTTGTTCGTTGTTTTTTTTATTCCTTGTGCCTTCGGTCAGTAACCCCTCGATTTTAACCCCATACTATTTTTGCAGGTGTCCTAGTGAAAATGATGAACGTCAGAGGCCTTGCAGACCTGAAGAAGAAAAAACCCTCCAAGGGCCCGAGGGGGACGGACGCTGGTGTCCCAAAACCCGCCGGTGACTTCTTCAAGAAACCGGAGGGGCCGTCGGTGGGCCCAAGTGCTGATGCTGCCGCTGCCGCCAAAAGGAAGGGCTCGGGCAGAGTTCCCGAGGGCAAGAAGCCCAAGACCGGGGATGCCGGGAAGAAAGTCCCCCCGGTGATCATCGTTGATGAATGTCCTGCCTCCGGGGCGAATGAGGAGATGCAGGTGGTGAAAGTGTCGTCGGGTGTTCAGGGGCCATCTTCCGAGGTCCTCATGGTTTCCCTCCCGGCTGGTACGGCCGTGATGAACGGTACGGGCGTGATGAACGGTACGGCCATCTTAAGAGGCATCACCCTCGAGATTGACAGAGTAGCCCTCGGGGCTGATGAAGACGAAGCCCTCGAGGACAGGATCCTCCGGTCTTCCCTCACAGTAAGTCTTTGATGTTTATATCTTTCTTCTTTACTTTGAGCTAAGAAACCATGTTTGGCCCCGCTAACCCCTTTGTTTTTGTAGACCTGCATTGCCCTCGGGGAGCAAGCCCGGCGGCTAGAGGAGTGGCGCCTTCGCAAGGCTGAGCAGGAGGCTAAGATGCGGGAGCTCATCCGCCAGAATGCTGATGCTGTCCGGCAGATGGCTATGCTGGAGGAGAGCCTTCGGCAGTTGACCCTGCGGGCGGAGGCCGCAGATCGGGGCAGGGCAGAGGCTGAGAGGTCCGCGGCTGAGGCCTTGGAGAGAGCTGCCAAGGAGGCCGAGGCCGCGAAGGTGGAAGCCGTCGAGAGAGCCCGAGGGGACGCAATCTCGGGGTTCTTGGCAGGGGGTGGCGGTCCGAGGAGCACAAGCAATGGATGTCCTCGGTCGTCGAGTCCTCGGTTGACGAGTGGTGTGATGGGCCCGGCGTGGAGTGGGTTTCCCGAAAGGGTAAACAATACTATGATGGGGGCGAGTTTTTCACTCAAGCCCTCATCTACCGGAGGATGGCTCGCCACTTGAAGATCGAGCCAAAGGACTTTGACCCGGCAGCATACGGGCTCCCCCTCTGCAGCCAGACATCCGTGTTCCTCTCCCCCCCGATGT